AATATCAAGGTTAATAAAAACAGTGAAATACCTATTCATTTGAAAGATGTGGACCAAATCAGTAACTCTTTTGCGAGTGTATGTCAATTAGCTACTCCGATAGACAATTTACTAATGAATTTTTATCAGGGCAATAGGCTGGAGAGCCTTAACAATGGTGAGCTTATTTTTAAAAATATTTCAGAATATGATATTTATAAGGCATTTAAAAGAATTAAATCTAAAAGTATGGGTATAGACCAAATAAGTTACAATCTTGTTCTTTTTAGCATTGATTGTATTGCTCCGTTTCTAGCTAAGCTATTCAATATATCCTTACAAATGGGGGAATTTCCAAAAATGTGGAAGAGCGCCATTGTTAAGCCTTTGCCAAAGAAAAATAAAATAGAAAATTTTTCTGAACTAAGGCCAATCTGTCTCTTACCAATATTTGCCAAAATGTTCGAAGTACTAGTGTCTGATATGCTGCTTGAATTTGTAAATACCAATAATATTATACCAGCTGTGCAGTCTGGCTTTAGGAAAAATCATGGAACTGCTACCGCCCTTACAAAAGTGTCTTCTGAAGTATCAACTAATATTGACTCATCAAGGGTTTCTTGTCTAGCACTGCTAGACTATAGTAAGGCTTTCGATCTTATACATCACGACATGCTTGTGGCTAAAATGAGGTTCTATGGTTTTTCAGAGGCTGTCTGCAAATGGTTCAAGAACTACCTTCTACTTAGAACACAGGTGGTTGAGCTTGATGGAGCAAGATCTGAGCCTGTTACAACTGGTTATGGAGTCCCTCAGGGAAGTGTACTTGGGCCATTATTATTTAGCATTTATACTAGCGATGTTCCAAAGCAGGTTCGGTTTTGCTCCATCAATCTCTATGCCGATGACACGCAGCTCCTGTTAGGTTTTGCTCCTCAGGATGCCTGTGTGTGTATGCAGAGAATAAATGACGACTTAGACTCGATATTTATATGGTCAAGTCAACATGGGTTGGTTCTAAATGCTAGTAAGAGCACATATATGATTATGGGCTCTAATGCCGGCAGAAGTAAATTTTTGCGTTTTAATTTCACTACATTGCACATAAACGGTACTACTCTACCTAACTCAGAATCAGCAAGAAATCTGGGTGTGACTTTCGACGAAAGTCTTAACTTTCAGGTGCACGTCAACAGAAAATTGTCATGTGTTTATGCTGTACTTAAGAGTTTGTACCCGTTTAAGGATAATTTACCTCGCAACATTAAATTGATGTTAGTGGAGACTCTTATTTGGTCACAGTTGGACTATTGCAATGTTGTCTTCTATAACTACCTGAATGTTGAATTTAAAAACAAAATTCAGTTAGCTCAAAATGCTTGTATGAGATTTATTTTTAGCATTAGAAAATTTGACCATATTACGCCAACCTATGTAGAAAATAAGATACTAAAATATCAACAGCGAGCAGCCTTGCACTTTGGTCAATTCGTTTATAAAATTTTTCAATCTGGTAACCCATCCTATCTCTCAGAATATCTTATAGTAAGACAAGACCTACACAGTCGCTGTCTGAGAAACATTATACGATTTCAAATACCACGGCACATAACCGAAGGTTTTAAAAACTCATTTTCTTACCGAGCGGTACAACTACTTAATACAGAGGTGTATGAATTTATGATTTCAGGTTCACTGGTAAACTTTAAAAAGAAGTACAAGGCTTCTCTGCTGGAATTAATAGCGTAGCTTAGAATAGGCATTGAATTCTGTATTTATTTATTTATTTATTTTTTCGGGTAGCATGGAAGAACACATTACGTGAATGTTACCTTTTATGTAATTTCTTTTGATGCATAATAAACGTTATTATTATTATTATTATTATTATTATTATGAAACTACATATAAAAAACTAAAAAAAGATCCAACAGTTACAATTCAGAACAAAAATGAAAAGATGATTGACGCTTTGATAAAGAATGGTTTTATTGGTGATGAACAGGGAAAAAAACTAAAAGCAGGTGTGCAAATCCTTCAAAGATCTATTTTCAACCTAAAATACACAAAAATAATATACCTTTAAGACCTATTGTATCGTTTGTAGGGTCATCTTTGTATTCTCTAACTCATTTTCTGGCCTCTACGTTAAATGGTATGTTTGTCAAGAATGAAAGCTATGTTCTCTTTTGAGTTGGTTTCAAGTATCAAAGATGTTATACTTCCAAATGACTATGAAATCATCTGTTTGGACATGGTTGCGTTGTTTACCAATGTTCCAACAGATATAGTGGTAAACATAGTCAGGAAGAAATGGAATCTTGTAGAGAATAGTGTAAAGATTCCTCTGGATAGATTTGTTGAACTGCTAATGTATGTTTTTGATAATAATTATTCTCAGTATCAGGACAACTTTTATAAACAAATATATGGTATGGGAATGGGTAATTGTTTATCACCAGTTTGTTCAGATTTAGTGATGCAGGAACTGCAAGACCAATCTATTGAAAAACTTCCTTTTCAATTAGCGTTTTACAAAAGATATGTGGATGACATAATAACTGCAATTCCCAAAAATCAAGAACGAATTGTACTAGACATATTTAATAGTTACCATCCCAGAATACCGTTTACGATGGAGGAAGAGAGGGACAACAAGATAGAATTTCTTGATGTGCTTCTAATAAGACAGAAACAAATTATAGAAACTGACTGTTACAATAAACCAACCTTTTCAGAAAGATTTCTTAATTATTCATCTGAACGCCCACTCAAACGTTAGATAAATATCATTAATAATCTTTTAACTACCCAGTATCGTTGAAAAAAAAAAAAGTAATGCAGCAAAAACCACAAAACAAAAAGAATTGCAAATGTATTGCAAACTACCTTATATTAAAACATTGTCTGAACAAATACAAGGCGCATTTAGAGGTAAAGTTACTAAAAAAAAAGAAAAACTTAAAATTGCATTCAAATGCCAAAATACAATAAAAAACCGATTCTTTTCGAAACTTAAATCTAGCACAAAAAAAGAACTAAAATCAAACGTAGTTTATAATATTCCTTGCTCCCAATGCAGTGAGAACTATGTTGGACAGACTGGTAGATACTTACAACAAAGAATGAAAGAGCACATAAATGACCAAAAGAACTATCTTTTAAAATCTAATCCAACAGTCTTAGTAGAACATAAGTTAGAAATTGGGCATGATTTTGATTTTGACAATATAACCATCCTGCAGACGCAGTCTAATTATAAAAAAAGATTGATTGCAGAAATGATCGAGATTCAGAAAAATAAAAGTTGCGTTAACAAGCGAACTGATGTAGAAAATATTCGTACGTCATATTTCAATATCATTATAGTTATTAATGATACAAGTTCGATATGAACGCCATAATGAAACGCGTGTAACGTTAAACCACGAGGCGTCAGCCGAGTGGTTTAGTTACACAAGTTTCATTAATAAAGTTCATATCGAACGGGTATCATTCAAAATTTAATCTACAATGGTCCAAATAGATTTGATTTGCCTTGAAATAGCAAAAACTTTTCAAATTAAAATTTGAATTTTAGCAGGTGCCCGTACTAGTCGAGAACCTGCTTGTTGGTTTTTAGAATTTTGACTTTGGCAGCTTCAATATTGGAGTCCATTTTTGTGCCATAAATTCAATTTTATAGTGGAAAATAATATATTATTGGTGATTCTGAGTTCGAAAGTGTCTCTTCGAATATAGAGACAGCATTATTGAAAAGGTTCTTCTGGCAACTAACTTTCTTTTTGTATATTCTTCATTTCAAAATTTGGGTGTTATTATGAATTCTTAAACGCACTAGTGCTATTATGAAGGACCTAATGACATTCAAATGACAATGCTAAATGTGTCATAATGACACCGACGTAGATTAATAAAATAATGTCACTGGAATTTTGTTTTTTTTTTGTTTTTGTTTCTTTCTTTCTTGAATTTCTGTTGTGTTTTTGTTTTTTTTTTTTCTGGACTCTAGCGGCACCAGTTCAGTGTAGTTAGTTTAGTACCAGTATGCATTGATGGTTGTTTAAATCAATAGGCACTGTTTACTGGCTACTAGTTTAAATATTTTTCTGTTTTTTGTTTTTAATCATTTCAAATGTTATGTATACAGTGTTTTTTAAATTTTATTTTAACTTGTTACGGCTTGTGTGTTTTTAAATTCCCAAAATTGCATATTATGGTGATGTTCCAAAGACAAAAAAACTTTTGTAATACCTACAATAAGATATTTGATACAATTATTTTAATGACAAGGAAAGTTAATTTTAAAATGTAAGTAGTAGTCATTATATTAATGTCCACTTTTTTATGATTAATTTATTTATTTTATTTTTGACGTCTATTGTAGTGTCCTGAGGATGCAAATAAATTTGCGAAACGTCGACAATTTTGAAGAAAACAAACTTCCATTGGTGTTTTTCTTTCCAATCCTACCCTAATTAAAACAAAGGAAAATATTTTCTGCAATCTTCCATTTCTTTTCAATCAAAATCTTTCCACAGTAGTCTTGACGTGACATTTTAACAAAAAACAACCTTAATTGGCGTAGTGCAAGATGGTCTAAATTTCTTCTAAATATACTTCGCTTCCTCTCGTCTCTTCGCATTGAAATATTGAGAAAAAAATTTCAAAATGAATGTAAAATTGCATGGGAGGAGAATGTTAAACAACAAAGTTTTACAATAATTATTACTGTCATATGATTTATTTCCATTCTGTGAAAATTTCAAACTGTAGTTGTATAAATATGCAGTACTGTACCAAGGTTGTTTAAAAGAGGGAGGTTGCCTGTTATGACGTCATCTGTATGCCTCAAGATAATAAAACTCCATAAGGCAACCCAGATGCGTCTTCAAGTTACCCATTACCATTAGGAACCTTGGTTCTGTCCGCATACCTCATTAAATGAGATATGAAGATATTTTAGCAGTTAATTCTTCTTTTACATAATTTTAAGCAAATAACGTTTTTGTATTTTTCAGAAAAATAAATTCAATAAAGGCTCATTGGAAAAGAAGACCCTAGCAAAAAAACTAGCTGCACCCAAGTCGCAAAAAAATTAAATGTTAGAACCATAAGTAAGTTTTAATAAAATAAACTGTGCTGTTTTATCTGACAATTTTATTTAACTTTTCCTCTATAACCTTTGGAAACTTTGCATTGCCACTTTTGGCACAATGGATACAATAAGTACCATTATAATACACACTGCAATAAAGGTCTTTGCAAACCATTTTATTGCAAGCAACGCAATGTGCTCCTAAAACTACAATTTCGCCTTGTTTTGGGGCTGCAAAAGGATCTTCTATGACATAGGAGTCTTCCGAGAGAATAAACTTTTTTTGAAACGGAGCTGCCTTGCCAAAATATTCATATTTTTCTCTTAGGTTACACAAAGCGCATTCAAAGTACTTTATTTCATTGTTGGCCTTTTTTATAATTGGCTGTTCAGTGGTTTCTGCTGAAATTGATGTGCTGGGTTCAATTTCTTCATTTTGCATTATCAGCCCTAAAAATAAAATCAATAAAACTCAGGTTGTAACTTTCAAATAAATTTATTTAATTATTAAAATTAAGTTTTTCCTTGGGCATTTCTATTGGCCACCAATCAGGCTTTATAACTTTAGCTTCACCATTTCCAATAGAAATCGTCCCAAACTCCAAAGCTTGACTCATTCTTAATAAAGCCAAACCCACATTTCCCTCTATTCCTCTAAATTTTCCCAGATTTTTACCATTGTGCATTATTATATTATTTTCTGGTAAAACTGTAGGTATTTTTGTGAATATCAAAGGCATCAATCTTTTTCGTATGACTCCTGTATGGTAAGTTCTAGCAGTCAATTCTTGTCCTATATAGCAGCCCTTATGAAAACTTACTCCGTGCAAATAATCACAATTGCATTCTAATGGAAAAGAATTTCCTGACAGCAAATCTTCTTCACCTTCACCTATGCCTAAACTATAGCGAAGTTTTTTGTAATTATCAGAAACATCGCATTCTGCTATTTCGTTTATTGAATTAACTTTGTCACTTTCTGCAATTATTCTAAATCCCAAATGAGCTACTCGAGGGTCTTTAAAAATTAATATATCTTTGAAAACTTTTAGGTCAGAAGAGTTTTCTGGAAACTTGTTCTTGTATTCTCCATTTAAAATTGAATAATCAGCCAATTTTTCTTGACCTATGATTAGTGGATTAAACAAAACATATACTTTACTACTTGACTGAGAAATATCAATTTTCCTTTTAACTTTATAGATTTTGAGATGTTTTTGCAAAGCTATTGTAACTTTAGTATCGCACTCAATCAAATAACTATTATCTTCTGCAGTTTTATAAATAAGTGAGTCATATAAGGTTCGCCCTTTTGTATTTAAGAACATTGCAAACATACTGCCAACTCCATTACTCAAATGGTTTATATCATTCGTAATTAAGCCCTGCAAAAATTCAGACACATCTGGACCTTTGATTTGTATAATGGAGCGTTCGTTTAAGTGTTGTAGAGCGTTTTTGGAGATATTTTGAGAGGAAATCAAGCGTTTTATGAGGGTTTGGGCTTGTGTTATAGCCATGATGCAATTGGAGCCCCTCTGGAAGAGTGTAACTTTTGCAAAAAACAATTTTCAAGAATAAATAGGTCTTACCTATAATTTATTGAAACGCGACGTTTTAATCTATTACTTCATAGTTTATTTCATCTTTGAATCATGGAAATTGGAAATGCGAAGGAATATAGGAAATTTAAAAGTGATTTTCTGATTTTGAGATGTTTATTTTTCTTCTGTGCATGGTTAGGTTAGGTTCGCTTTCTCCGTCTTCTTTTTTGTTAATTGTTTGAACTGCCGCCCACTAAAGTTGAGTACCGTTTTCAGATAAGTACCGTTACCGAAAATCCAACGACCTGTCAAAAGAAATTCAAAATGGAGGCCAATGCCTTTTTATTTAAAAAAATGCCGTTTTATTGCGATTTTTGATTTGTATAAAGTCTGTAAAGTGTTGATTTTTTGGAAAATGCATACGTTATGTATTGTACTTAGTTGTGGGAGCCGGTCTAGTCGCGAGAAAGTCTAGTTTCATGCCGTTCCTGCAGAGACAAAACACAGGTTTTTAATGGAGAAAAATGATTTGTCTGTACTTTGTGAGGGCTTCATGGATTGTAGCAAAAGAGAAAAAAATCTTACGAAATCCATATTAAAAAACCAAAAAGTCTCTCTACATAAATGGTGTATGGATCCAAGCCATTTACTATCCTCCACATCAGCTTGTGTCGATACCTTGAATAGCAGACAAATAAAATAAACATCAGGATTCAGGATTTGGTTAAGAAAAAACTAAACAGGAAACAAATCCAGGATAGTACCTACCTAATTGTTTAGTAGGTAAAGGTTTGTCACAAAAAAAATCATAACTTTTGCAAACATCCGGGTTTTCCACTAATAATTTATTAACCTACAAACTTTTCATCTTAAAATACGAAAATAATTCTTCCAAACACTAGAAAATCATCTAAAAACATCACAAAATACACAAAAAACAGATGAAAAATGTCACGGTTGTTTGAATTAAATGTATGGCGCCAATTTTTTGGCATTGACCATGCATTGGCCGCCATTTTGTTTGGATTGCCTTATTACGATTTCGATTGGTAGCATGGTAGCTGATTGGTAGTAGCAATACTAGCAATGAACTATAGTCAAAAACTGGAATGCGCACACATTGCCATATCTGCCAAAAAAATGTAGCCATGAAAGACAGATGCCACAAAGGGGAATCCCTGCGTTTTTATTTTCATCAAATTTTACCGATGGATCCACCATTCTATGGCCGTCATTGTCATTTTCCATTTACTAAACAAAGATAACTTACTCACCGGTGAATTCACCGATGAGAATAAAAACGAGGGGTATGTTGTTTTTTTCTGTTGCTCGCTGACATATGACGTTTTGGAAAGTTTTGTCCAATGAACTATAACCAAAAACTGGAATGCGAACACATATTAGTTGTATTCCTTCCAAGAGCTTGAAACACTCGAGCTACTCGCTTCGGTGCTTGGTCGCCCCCGATTTGCAGGGAACATATGCGTGGTGCAACAAACACTTTTCGAAAGGAATAAGCGCGTGAAGCCCCGGAGCTGTTCCGGAGCTCCTCCTAGGTGTGAAAGGAATACAACTAATGACGAACGTGAAGCCTAGTGCCGCTGCTGCGGAGGGGATACCTGTTTTTGTCGCACTCATGTTAAATGGCGGAAATTGCTTCCAACACGTATTCCAATTAGTTGTATTCCTTTCAAGAGTTTGAAACACTCGAGCTACTCGCTCTGGTGCTTAGTAGCCCCCGATTTGCAGGGAATAGATGCGTGGTGCAACAAACACTTTTCGAAAGGAATAAGCGCGTGAAGCCCTGGAACTGTTCCGGAGCTCCTCCTAGGTGTGAAAGGAATACAACTAGTGATGAAACCTGTGAAGGTAAATATGACAAAACTTTCCAAAACGTCATATGTCAGCGAGCAACAGATAAAAACAACATTCCCCAGGGTTAATAAATTCGCACTTGGAATATGGCTCCTTCCTATTGAATGTATCAAAAAAAAATTTAAACAAAATGAAAAATATACAACATCAAGCACTGAGAATAGTATTGGGATGTGCCAAATCTACACCTACCAATGTGTTATTTGCTGAAGCAAGACAAATACAATTTGAGTATAGACAAAAATAGCTGGGAGTAAAGTTCCTGACCAAAATACAAAACTTCCAAAATCACCCTACACTTCCATTGATAAAAGCTATTAAATTGCACTAGGTACATGGTTAATGCGAATTACTGGCGAAGGAAAGATATTCCAATATTAGTTCAAGCACTGAACTATATGATGCCATATATTCAAAAAATAGAAAAAATTGACAAACTCCCATGCTACGATTTTCAATATCAAACACAAATTAAAAGTATAAAAACAATAAATCTAAATTTAAATAAAAATGAACAATTAACAAAGATAAGTATAAAAAAGACTACATGTGCGTATATACTGATGGATCTAAAAAAGATAATAAGACAGGATTTGGCATCCACTGCCCCAATCTAGATCATAACTTCAGTGCAAGACTACCAGACTATCTAGATATATGTACAGCTGAAATGGTTGCAATACAAGAGGCAATAACATACATATTAAGGAAAAATAAGAAAAAAGCAATAATCCTAACTGATTCAAAAAGTGCTATTGAAAAATTAAAACAGAATTTTATTAATCCAGAAGCTGAAACAATAACTCTGAAAACTAAAGCAACTCTAATAACAGCTGCCCAATCTAACTTTGACATACACCTAGCATGGATACCAGGACACTCCGGAATTCCTGGAAATGAAACGGCTGACAAACTAGCAAACATTGGCAGAAATCTAAGGATACCAAAAAAGGTGCAGATGGACAAGAACTACATGATTAATACAATTAAAAAACAAATAGCAAAAGAGCATCAAGAAGTCTGGAAAGAATCCCTAAATATAAAAGGTAGATGGTATGCCCTTATACAAGACAATTTTCCCAAAACAATGTGGTTCAAGCAATTTGAATACATAGATCGAAAACATATAACTACAATGATTCGCATGAGATCAGGACACTGTCTCACAAATAAATATCTTCATAAAATTGGAATAAAGGATTCACCTAACTGCGAATGTGGACAAATTGAAGACCTCAACCACATAATACTGGAATGTCCCATTAATAAAATTCCAAATCAGGATATATACAGTGAATTGATAAGCCAAAACACTCCTGCTCCCCTATCTATGATCACTTTACTAAGAGACCCATGCTCACTGAAAATACAAATACTGAACAAATTTCTGAAATATAATAAAATTGATCTTTAAACAAAATCTATCCAATTAGCAAAAAATTAATGAAACATAATAAAGAGAACAAACAAAAAATGATAGACCTCCCAGAAAGAAAAATCCCAAGTCCCAAAATCCCAATTATACACTCTGTAATGTTAATCCTATGTTGTATATGTTTTAAGCTAACCTGTCAATCACCAAACGGACGACGGAGTAAAAAGTAAAAAGTGAAAAGTCTGTGTTCGGAACATGGTCATGAGCCAGACGGCTTTCTGAACACGTTCAAATGTGCTGGCAAACTGCCCTATTGGGAGCAAAAGCCAATAACCCCAGAAAAGAAGAAGAAGAAGAACATTCCCCTTTGTGGCATCTGTCTTTCATGGCTACATTTTTTTGGCAGATAAGGTGTGCGCATTCCAGCTTTTGTTTATAGTTCATTGGGAAGAAGTGAAGAAAGAAAAAAGTCCAAGACAATAAATTCCGTCCAGCGGCAGATCAGTAAATCCCATGACTCATGACTACGAAAAAGAAAAAAACATAATAATGGCCATCGTGCAAAGTACAGACAAATCGTTTTGCTTCGCTGAAAGCCTTCTCTGACCTTGCGTTCGGTATTTTCATTGGTATTTTCCTCAAAGAGTAGAGCGTGCTGAGCGGAGCCGTAGTCACGTGACCAGCGAACGAACAGAGCGGTTGAACGCTGTATCAAAGTTCCCGAAATTTTAGTAAACGAACGCGAATGAGCCTGCCCGAGTACCATCGTCACCAAAAGTAACTGGGACAGCATCACATTAGCTCTTGTCCTATTATATGAATTTTATTGTCAAATATTTGTCAAACTATGAATCAAATGCATTGAAATGAATGACAGTAGAATTAGTCCAGGAGATTATTATGCATTATTTATGTCCCAGATACTTTTGGTGACGATGGTACATTTTTTAAATAAACGAACGGTAAATTAAAGCCGGGAGAACTCGGATCAAAATATCGAACGCACGGTGTAGCAACGGCATAAAACGAGCAATGGTCGCGTTCACCAACACTCAACATGTTGAGTGATTAGTCAGCGGCTTTGTTGAAACAGATAAAAATCAGCTCCAGGCCAATCAAAACTGTTCTAACTTGTTGTGTATTCCACTTGTTGGAACAAAGCCGCTTACTAATCACTCAATACATATCGGAGGCAATTACAAAAAAAAAGAACAAATGCTTTACACCATCCAAAAACCGCAAATACTAAAGAAGGAAAAAAAAATATATACAATATATAAATACAAGGATAACAAATTGAACTAATCTGAAGCCTCCCACCACGCCAAATCACCAGTTGTGACGTAGGCAGCATGTCCTTTCTCGCCTTGACGTAGGCTGTTTGCACTAACAGCTTATGATTTCGCTGGCTTTTGCTTTGGTTTTTCATGTTGCGATTTCTAAAAAAAGTTTAAACTTTTTTTTTGGGGTTTAAGTCCAGTGCACATGCATTCTTGGTTTGCAAGTTACAAGACTTCTTGCACTTGCAACTAGGCCGTATTACAGCTTGCAATAGACCTATCTATTTTTACCAGGTATGCGCGCGCAACACGAGGCAATAGAATCATTATTATTACAGTGACTAAATAAACCTTTACATACAGTGGCGACAATAGAGGTCTCGCCGCCATTTTGTTCCCAACCTCTTGTTACTTTTAAATATTAATATATAAGATTTAAATGGACTTCTATCATAAAAAATTGA